CTACTTCCATACCAAGAGCCTGCTGCACTATTGCGGCTGCAAACCTTTTCCCTCGGCCTTTCCAGCTTCCTGGGGCTCCTGGCGGTTGGATTGCGAGCTACTGCTTCTGATCAACGCAAGGCCTCCTGAACCACTACTCTTTATAACAACAAACTAATAAAAGTTCTACACATATACATAATTATATATATATATAGACATGTGTGTGTGTGTGTATTTGAGAGCTAGACACAACCACTCAGTCAGGGTTCAGGGCTTTAGGATGGTTTCGGCGCTCAAACTCAGAAGGTCTCGGCCCCCCTCAGTAACAGTCGACAAAAAAAGTTGTAACATAGACATTCTAAGGCCCTCAACAATACTAGCGCTATTGCAGTATGGGAGTATGGGCAGGACCCAACATATTTGAACCACGAACCTTGCTCACCCATTCCCTGGACTCGTGGCTCTGTCCAGCTGCCTAGCCTCTGGGTGGCCTCTGGGTTTTCACAACTCACCGTCAAGCCTTTCCAGCTTCCTGCAGCACGTCGCCGTGCTTGCTCTTCCCTTTGCTCTTCGCCTTTCCAGCTTCGGGCGGCTCCTGGCCAGTGTCCTTGGTCTGTCTTTTGCCCTTGCCTTGGGCTGTTGATTCTCGTGTTTTCCGCAAGGGAAAAAACACAACACAAGAGGGTGTGTCAACTGTTTTCTTTTGTGATCACCCTCTCTCTCTCTCTCTCCATATTTACATATATGTTTTTATGTGTACATATCTCTACATCTACCTACCTATGCCTAGGCCTACCCACCTACCTACCTGCCTGCCTGCCTGCCTGCCTGCCTGCCTGCCTGCCTGCCTGCCTACCTACCTGCCTACCTGCCTACCTGCCTACCTGCCTACCTACCTACCTGCCCGACCGCGCCCTTTGATGTGACGGACTTTACAAAGGGGATTCCCCATGGGCATGACTAATGGATTGCGATCACCTGACCATGAATGCTACTCAGCTACTGCTCAGTATCACTGCACCTCACGGGAACATGTTGCTCCCTGAACTATACCGTAACAACCCGAAACCCTACAATTCGGCTTTAAACTACAAGTGACCCGAGAACCTCAGAGTACTTTTACTAGAGCAGCCGCGGCTCGGGTTCGGCTTGATCTGGGCGCAGGCTTTTCGAAATGAAAGCCTCTTGTGTGATGGGCGCCTGGGAGATCTCTATCCTCAGCTCGTTTTGCTTAAACAAATCCTTTTTTTGGGGTGGTCTGGGGGGATATCTTCCTCTGACCTGACTTTCGAGCCGTTCCGGACAAGAGGGATCACTCTCTTCCCAGATATGGAGCTCCAGAGTCATTGGCAGTAAGTTGTGCCTAACGATCTAACGGTCCTCGCACCTCATCTTCTTGCGCCCTCTACAGAAGGATGCGAAAAAATATGCATAACTAGCTGCGGGTTGTGCCAAGGCTCATTCCGCTGCCGTAGACGGTTGAAGCCACAACATAGACCCGCTTGTCCTGCAATGCCAGCCACTTCAACAGCTTGAGTCGCTGCATGCAAGAGCAGGAGCAACCTGTGACCTGGATCTCCGTCTTGCTTCTCGATGCATGTATCTATGGGGCCGAGGATAGACCCAGGAGAACTAATTTCGGGTGCTCGATTCAGGTCCGGGACTCGATGGCGATCCAGGTCGGTGCTGCGGGTCGTTCGAGTAAGCTGGCAGGCTGCAAATCCGTATAAACCTAACCCCCAAACTTCAGACATCATAATCATCATCGCGGCGAGCTGAGGGAAACAACTCGGCATCTTCCAAGCAACATCAGTCTATATGTATGTATGTATGTATGTATGTATGGATGTATGTATGTATGTATGTATGGATGGATGTATGTATGTATGGATGTATGGATGTATGGATGTATGGATGTATGTATGTATGTATGTATGTATGTATGTATGTATGTATGTATGTATGTATGTTGGGGTTTACCACCGAAGTAGGAGACCTTCACGCGGTCCTCCAGCAAACTGGCATGTGGTTTGATGGACGCAGTTCATGTTTCCAAGAGAGATGAAGACCCTTAGTACGAAAAGGACGAACAAACAGAGAGAGAGAGAGAGACAGAGAGAGAGAGAGAGAGCAACAAAAGGGATAAAGAGCTGCGAGAGAGATAGAGATAGAGAGAGAGAGAGTGTGGGAAAGAGAACGACACAGAGAGGTACAGGAGTGCAATAGTTCAGGACTGTACACGCGCAAGTGCGCACTCACTCATCGCCAGCGCACAAGGCCAACGAGTGGACGGTAACAAGGCCAAAGCCCTAGCTACTTAAACGGGGGTTTCAGAATTTAGGCTTGACTGGGTTGACGGGAGATACCCTGGTGACCTGCGGCACCTTGAATGGAACCACCAGCGCTTCGTCATCGCCACCTCCGACTAAGGAGCCCATAATGTATGGAATCTCAGAGCTGCATGCTTGCGAGTTCCACTCTGTGGCGGTGTGGTTGCCCCATGCTGCGCACATGTACAGTGTCTAGATGATCAAGAGCTATAACCTATAACCCCTTTCTCAACATGTAGTACTGAAGCAGCAACCAGCACAGGGAAATTCGTGGTCCAAGAAGATCAGTAATTTCGGGTTTGGGATTTTTTGACACTCACACTCGGACAAAGCCTGGCAAGGTCTGTGGTGTTTTTGCCTCCTACTTAGCGGTGGTCTGCGGTTTGGGGTTTAGGGTTTTTGGGCTTTCTTTGGGAGATATGTAAGTTATAAACGGGTTTTCATGCTCAAGGTTGTTGAGGTTTCGGGTCTTGAAGGAGTTTCAACTCTGTCGAACCGCTGCGGCCGTCAAACGACATACTATCATACAACAATTAACCAACAGAGAAAGACACATGTGATGTGTTTTCAATCTCTGCGTGTTGTACCGTGGTGTTGCATCAAGCGACAGGTTTCAGTTTGAAGAATGGCATAGCGGCAGAACTTATAATTGTTACATATGTGCACACGTAGCGCCACAAAGGCGAAAAAGACAGAGAGAGACAGAGAGAGAGAGAGAGAGAGAGATAGAGACAGCGAGAAGAGGGGGAGAGCGTGCTGTTTGAAGAGACGCAGACTTTGAGAGCCCGTTCATGAAGGAGACAGACAGACAAACAAACAGCCGGACAACATGCAGACTGGCAGGCCGAGAGACATGAAATTTATGTCTGCCCAAGGCCGCAACAGCGGCAAACCCGAAGCCCCAAAACCCAAAACTGCAGCACAATAGCTTCTCCACGTCTGTCAGCATGCAGCAAAGCCTGGAAGCCAGAAGGATAAGCTGCCATCGTCGCCAAGCCTGAGCTAGGTTCTCTCTATCGGGTTTAGGTGTTGAGACACAGGCTGAAGGTTTCGAGATCGGATCGGGGTCTTGACAG